ATCTATCTATCTATCTATCTATCTATCTATCTATCTATCTATCTATCTATCTATCTATCTATCTATCGTATATCCAACTCATCTATTTATCCTATTTCATCAATCTATCCATATCTATCTATCTTCTAGCTCAGGGGTGGGCAAACTATGGCCCGCGGGCCACATCCGGCCCGTTGGGACTTTTTAATCTGGCCCGCCGAAGATTGGTACAGAATTAACGTTTGATGCGAATGATCAAATAATTGCATTCATTTGATTTTGACTTGTAATGACAGGCATTTTGACACCAGGTGGCGCATTAGGCGCAATGACTTGATTTTGCGGAGATTTTGCAGTTTTTTTACATGTATCGTATCTTGTGCTGACCCGGCCTGACTTTTAAAAGTCAATGAGGCCCCCGAGCCAAAAAGTTTGCCCCCCCCCCCCCCCATTCTAGCTTGTCTATATATTCTTATATATCTGTATGTATCTATCATCCATCCATCTCTCTCTCTATCCTATCTCTCAATCATCTGCCTGCCTACCTACTCTATCATCTACCAATCTATCAATCTACCTACCTACCTGCCATCGCAATAGCAATCTGGCTTCGATCAATCTGTCTGTCCTATCATCTATCAATCAATCCTCATCTATCTAATCTTATCTATCTATATCTATCCTATCTCATCTATCCAATTTTTCTGTCATATTGCCTGCCTGCCTGCCTGCCTGCCTATCTATCTATCTATCTCATCTATTTATCTAGCCATCCTACCTCATCTTATCACTCTACCTACCTACCTACCATCGCAATAGCAATCTGGCTTCGTTCAATCTGTCTGTCCTATCATCTATCAATCAATCCTCACCTATCTAATCTTATCTATCTATATCTATCCTATCTCATCTATCCAATTTTTCTGTCATATTGTCTGCCTGCCTGCCTGCCTGCCTGCCTGCCCGCCTATCTATCTATCTATCTATCTATCTATCTATCTATCTATCTATCTATCTCATCTATTTATCTATCCATCCTACCTCATCTTATCACTCTACCTACCTACCTACCATCGCAATAGACTCATATATCACTCCATAGTGCTTTTATGGCCCCCTCTAACCAGTTTACTGAGGTAGCATGTTGAGGATCGAACTCCTGGCAATGGGCAGAATTAGCTTGCAATACCGCATCCTAACCACTGCCCACCAGGGCTGAGAAACCTGTACTCCAAATGGACAAGCCCAGGGGAGTAGGTTACCTCTGAAGGATGCCTCTCAGCTTGTCGCCAATCCCAACCACCATGACTTCTTTCCCTGAACCCGTGAGGTTGGAGAACTGGTGCTTGATCTCTTTAGCTACGGAGGTGTGAATGGCCCCACACAGGCCACGATCAGAAGACACTCCAACCAGGAGATGCTTTTTCTTGTCCTCAGGGGGTTTGATGTCTACTTTCTCGTAGAGAGCTACAAAAAGAAAGAAAGGGCTGTTAGCGATGAGCAACTATCGGAAGGCCCAGATATCAAAACTATGAAAGCCTCTTGGATGACTTTGGGCCAATCACTGGGAGACGGTGAGTTCTAGTCCCGCCTTCAACAGGAAAGCCAGAGAGGTGACTTTGAGTCAATCGCTTTCCCTCAGCCCAACTCACCTCACATGACTGTTGTTGGGGAAAGAATAGGAAGAGGAAAGTGTGCTGGATATATTCACTGCCTTGAGTTATTTGCAAAAATAATAAAGACGGGATATAAATAAATAAGGGACAGTAAAAAGAAGGAAGGAAGGAAGGAAGGAAGGAAGGAAGGAAGGAAGGAAGGAAGGAAGGAAGGAAGGAAATAAAGAACAGTGCTTATGCCAAGAAAGGAGATTTACTGCCCATATTGTTTGTGTACACATGCAAACATTTGCTTGAAATATCCAGAACAACAATAGTTTTCCAAGTTATTGTAAAACCTTCTTTTAATGAACCACTAAGAGAGGAGAGTATTTTTTGCTCCCAAATGTTGTTTCATGCCAAATGGACTTTTTTAAAAAAATTAGTGTGCATTCAAAGTGACAATTATGTTATTAGTCTGTTCTATTCTATTTTGCAGCGAGTGGTTTCATTTGCAAAAGATGTCCTATTCATCCATTTATATAATTGACATCACATTACACAACAGCATCGTTCAAGGCACCAAGATTATAAAAATGACCCAACCATAAATTGACAGAAATATAGAACTGCCTCCTCTGGATTACACTTAACAACTGTCTTTGGGGCTCAATTATGTCGTAAGTCGAGGACTACTTGAAACAGGGTCGTTGGAAACAACTCATTCAAAAGTTCTAGGTCAGAAATGTGCCAGGAAACCTTTTCAGTCTTTAAGACGTTGTCAGCTACAAAGGAAACAGCCCCTTACCCAATGCTCCCACGCCGTAAACTCTGGCAGGCTTTAATTCTCTCTCCGCCCTGGAATATTTTGCAGCGGCAACCATTTTCATGGATTTCGTGATTTTCTGGATATTCTTGATAGACTTCAAGCGCCGGGTAACTGTATGGATTAGAGGATATGAACAGGTAGGATTTTAAGCAGACGAGGCAGAGTGCTAGATTCTTAAAAGGTGCAGTCATGATTTCAGAGCATCTCAGACAAATAAATATAACATGGAATGCTTACTGTCTTTCAGAGTCGCCATGTTCCTAACTTGGATCCTGAAAAACAAAAACAAAAAGAAACAACATATTGGCTTATTTCATACACTGAATGTGCTTCGTTTGGTTGCTCAAGTAACAAAAATACAGGACAGCTGCAATAGATCATTCATTTTCTAAAGGATGTTTACTTGGCTATATAATTTCTGAACGGGAACTCAAGCTCTCTTCTCAATAAGTGCACTAAAATTCAAGATAGAGATCTGATATTCCAAGCTACAAAATAAAATAAATAGGGTGGGGGGGAAACATGTTTGTGGCAATCCTTTCCTAAATATTCCATGAGCCTGTGCTGTCTTGCATCTCAAACTGAAGCGCACATGGGTCTTATAGCCTGCATTTTTTTCTTCTGGAAACCAGTTCGTATTCTCACATCATTCAAAGGGTGTTCATCCCAAAGGGCATCGCTAAAAGTCTATGGAGATTTTCAGTCCTTGTTTTTTTTTTCCCTCCCTCCTCATTCCAATCAGAGCTGAGGAAGCTTCTCGGATGAGAAGCAAAACATCTTCAAAAGGGGGGGGGGAGGGGGAACCAAGGAAGTCCAGTTGCCTCCTGAAAAAAAGGACGTTTGGTACAACCACGACCTGGATGACTGAGAATTTCTAAGGACAGGGACTACCCACCCCACTGATCCAGTTCTACAGAGGAATGACTGAGTCTGTCATCTGCACCTCTATAACTGTCTGGTTTGGCTCTGCAACCCAACAGGACAGACACAGACTTCAGAGGATAATTAGGACTGCAGAAAAAACAATGGCTACCAACCTCCTTTCCAAGGAGGATCTGTATCCTGCACGAGTCAAAAAGAGGGCTGTGAAAGTATCTACAGACCCCTCACATCCCGGACATAAACTGTTTAAACTCCTACTCTCAAAACAACACTATAGAGCACTGCACACTAAAGCAACTAGATATAAGGACATTTTTTTCCAGAATGCCATCACTCTGCTAAACAAATAATTCCCTCAACATTGTCCAACTATTTACTAAGTCTGCACTACTATTACTACTAACCTTCTCGTCACTCCTTATAACCCATCCTCTCCCACTTGTGACTGTATGACTGTAACTTTGTTGCATGTATCCTTACAATCTATATTGACCATTTCCTAGTATGATTCGATTGCTTACTGTACCCTATGACTATCAATAAGTGTTGTACCTGGTGATTCTTGACTCTTGACGAATGTCTCTTTTATGAACACTGAGAGCATTTGCACCAAGACAAATTCCTTGTGTGTCCAATCACACTTGGCCAATGAAGAATTCTATTGAATTCTATTCTACTCTACTCTACTCTATTCCATTCCATATTTTCTATTCTATTGTTTCTATTTTCTTTCTATCAATGAATCAATTAATCAATCAGAGCAAGGTCCACAGGAGGTAAGTTAGAATTAAATTTAGAGTTAGAATTAAGTTAAAATTAAAACCATGAAAAATCAATGGCTGAGGCAACCAGATCAGGTAAGATCAGATTCCCAGTGCATGCAAAAAAACAAAAATGCACTCCCCCACCCGCCCAAAAAACCTAACTTTTATAACTGAGCCTCTTATGTTGTGGGGTCACGGATTCCCTGGAGCTCCCATGCTGCTTGGACTCCAGCACCCATCAGCCACTACCCCCAAAGGCATGGGCCAGGGATGATGGGCTTCCAGCCACGTGAAAAGAAATCCCAGGGAAACTCAAAGTAGCTGTCAGTCTCTGGCCAGCTGGCTTCCCCCCGCACGCTCCCTTAAGGGAGGCGAGAGCGCCTTTGAGCATGTGCAGAAAGCCTCCCGCTCCTCGACCCTCTACGGCCGCTCCCCATCCCCCGAAGTACCCCCGCGGCTGGGCCTGGGCACCGGCAAGAAGATCAACAGCAACGCCGCCGACCCCGGCTCCTTCCTGCAGTCTCGTCCGACCGTCCACCGGCTGCAGCCGCTGCTGAAGGTCAGGGCGCCCGCACCACGCATGCGTCGCGCTTCCTCGCCTGAACCGGGCGCAGGAAGCGAAAAAGGAAGAGCTGTGACGTCTTCCGGGTGGACCGTTCCCCCCACTCTCGCAATCCTCTCTATGGTTGCTCGGACACTGAGCTGGCCGGCTAGAGCAGGCAGCACCTAAGCGGCGCGCGGCGCTCCTCCAAAGGGAACTGTCCACAAAGCTGGCATGCTAGAGCGACCCCAATTGGATTGACAGATTAAAAATAGATACTTTAAGCGACTCTTAACTTGGTTGACGCACAGATATAGTAAAATAGATACTTTCCACGTTTAATTAAGAGTTCACCGGCCGGGACGGACTCTACAAAGCATAGAATTTTAATTTCCCTGTCCTAAAGGCCATTCTCCGGGAGAGCTAAAGCCCTCCTCAGCGAGGACGACTTCCTGTTACAATATTTCCGGTTCCTGTCATCCCTTCCGGTGCCTCTCAGAGTGCGGAAGTGAGGGTCGCGCTCGCCGGTTTCGTGCTTCGTCGCTCCTTCGCTGTCCTCGCCATGGGGAAGACGGACTTCTTGAGCCCCAAGGCCATCGCCAACCGCATCAAGTCGAAGGGGCTGCAGAAGCTGCGCTGGTATTGCCAGATGTGCCAGAAGCAGTGCAGGGACGAGGTAAAAAAGCGAGCCTCCAGGGGCAGGGGCAGTATGTCTGGGCGCGCTGAAAGAAACCCTCCACTCGGGGTGCCTTTTCCCTCCTCAGCCACGGATCTCTTTCGGATTTAGGTTGACCCTTCGCCTGTCTTTGGGTGATTTTCCTCCACCATGAAGTTAGAATCACAATAGAGCTGGAAGGGACCTTGGAGGTCATCTAGTCCGACCCTCTGCTCAAGCAGGAGACTCTACCATTTCAGACAAGTGACTGTCTGGTCTCTTCTTGAACGTCTCCAGGGATGAAGCACCCACAACTGCTGAATGCAAGTTGTTCCACGTGTTAATTGTCCTCGCTGTTAGGAAGTTTCTCCTTAATTCTGAATTGTTTCTCTCCTTGATTAGTTTCCATCCGTTGCTTCTGCCTTCTGGTGCTTTGGAAAACAAGTTGACCCCACCCTTCTTTGTGGCAGCCCCTCAAATACTGGAATGCTGTTATCATGTCCCCGCTATTCCTTCTTTTCTCTAGACTAGCCAAACCCAAATCCTGTAACTGTTCTTCGTATGTTTTAGCCTAGAGGCTTTTAATCGTCTTAGTTGCTCTTCTTTAGAGAACAACACAACACAAAGGGATCTTGGAGATCTTCTAGTCCAACCCCCTATGTCATTTCAGACAAGGGCCATCCAGTCTGTTCTTAAAACCCTCCAGTGATGAAACAGGTTTCATTTTCCAGGTTTTGTCACTGTGATTCTTCATCTGAGTCATGGACAATATAATATGAGAGTACAATACAATACAAATAATACAATACAACATGAAGAGATCCCAAAGATGCTTTTTTCAAGAGGCAACTGGACTTTCTGGGGTTTTTTGAAGGCGTTTTGGTTCTCATCCAAGAAGCTTCTTCAGCTCTGGCTGAAGCTCTGGTGGGGAACGGAAGGGTTTATATTCCTTGCAGACAGCTGGTCATTTGCATTCTTTTTAGGAAGTGGTTGAGGCCACTTGAGGTTTATCAGTGTCTTCAGGGACACCTGAGTGGTGCTAATCGTTCCTGTAGTCTCTGAAGAAGCTTCTTGGATGACAAGTGAAACGTCTTCAAGGAAAGTCCAGTTGTCTCTTGAAAAAGCACCTTTGGGACAACCATGACCTGGATGACTGAGAATCTCTACAGATATGGTATCCTGAGGCAAAACTTCAAAACAGAGTTGCATCTAAACTGTACACAAATTAGGATTGTAGGATATGCTCCATGAAGGGGTCTTGGAGGTCTTCTAGTCCAATCCCTACATCATTTCAGGCAAATGGCTGTGCCAATCTCTTCTTAAAACCCTCTAGTGATGAAGCAGGTTGCGTTTTTCAGGTTTCATCACTGGAGTCTTGGACAATATGTCTTTTTGCATTCTTAGTGAGATTGAGATCCTTTTCATTAAACCACTTGTATTAAACCACCATTTTTCAAACTTGCCCACTTTAAGATGAGTGGACTTCAATTCCCAGAATTCCCCAGAAGAAACCATGTTGGCTGGGAAATTCTGGGAGTTGAAATCCACCCATTCTAAAGTGTTCAAGTTAGAAAAAGACCAAAGATTCCCCATCAGTTTGAAACTGACGATAAATAGAATGGAATAGAATAACAAAGTTGGAATGGACCTTGGAGATCTAGTCAACCCACGAAAAGGGGACAAGATGCTTATGTCTGAATGGATTCATTTTCTGGGATTCTGCAATGCACAGGATAGTAAACCCAGGTTCACGGTGTGGCTTTGGTACCACATTCTGGGATACAAAACACTTAATTTAATTTGTTGGCTGGATACTGGTATTAGATCTTTAGCTGACAAAGCTAAATGTGTTACGTGAAGAAGAACGAAAGGCTAGATTGAATTTAAATAAGTTTGGCTTATTTAATTAATTAGGCTAGTTGACTTCAGCAAGCAACCAAAACTAATATCTGGCCATTGTAAAAGGTTGCTACTTTGGATGTATCTAGGATTGCTGCCATGTTTGGGGGTAAATTTCTGGTTCTTTTGGTAGTTCCTTGCCAGCTGCATTATTTTATCTCCATTATGGTTTTTTTAAAAAAAGTTTTAGCTACTCTTAATACCCCTTCGAAGTTTGCTAAGGAATTTTGACTTTATTCTGTTTCTTGTCTTGTTTTTTTCCCCCAGAATGGCTTTAAATGTCATTGCATGTCTGAATCCCACCAGCGACAACTGCTCCTGGCATCTGAAAACCCTCAGCAGTTCATGGATTACTTTTCAGAGTGAGTTTAGCCTATAACTTGACATTGCGTTTCACGATCTGCTTCTGCTGAAATTTGGGCAGGATCATGGCTGCAGTATATGAGTTTGTCAATATAAGACAGTTGAGAAGCGCCTCACACGCCTGTAGTTATTTATCCAGACAAATTGTAGAATTTTCTCAGTGTAGGCGTAGGAGATGGTGGTTTTAAATCAAGCTTAGTGAAGGCTCTCCTCAAAGCTACCGTATTTTCCCCAAAATAAGACCCTGTCTTATATTTTTTTGCCACCAAAAAAGGCACCAGGTCTTATTTTCAGGAGTTGTCATCCACTGACAAACCTCACTCGTGCGCGTTGCCCCCAGCCTCCTTTTCGCTGTCAGGGGCCTTCAGGAACTACTACTTCTGCAGCCGGCAAGGCTTTCCTGAAGGCCTCTGCAGCCGATAACAAGAGCTCTGGATCGATCCAGAGCTTTGTTATCAGCTCCAGAGGCCTTCAGCTGCAGAAGAAATGGGCTGGCAAGGCAGATGTCAGGGTGTGTGAGGCCTGGCTACAACTGTCCAAAGGTAAGTAGTAGGGCAGCTCCACCCCTCTATCCCCACACTAGCTTAATTTTTACTCATCCACTCTGGAGTGGGTGGGATCTTAATTAGGGCTTATTTGAGGGGTAGGGAATTGGGCACACATCTAAAAAATCCAGCTAGGACTTAATTTCAGGGTAGGTTGTATTTTTGGGGAAACAGGGTAAGACATTGTCCACGTGACATCAGGAAGGGCATCTGGCCAGTAAACGCTCATCTCCATCCAGTCACCCGGACTCTACCCTGAATTAAGGGATCATGGGGTTGTAAAAAGGAAGCTTTTACTTGTAACTGTCATGGTGTCTGAGAAAGGTCATGAGAGATGGTTAAGAAATGTTGACAGGGAGTTAAGACTATCATGGCATCACGGATGGAGAAAGAGGTTCGGAAGATACCCCCCCCTTGTTTCCCAGGGTATAAAGGAGCCGGGAGGAGGAGAGAATTGTATTATATTGTATTATATTTCAAACTCGCAAGATTCTGTAACGTAGCCTTATTATAAAGTAGAATTATCTGATCCGGTCATGCTTTCTGTCTGATTTATCTAGTAAGGCTGACGGTAACACTCTTTCTTTCATATTCCTCTAGGGAATTCCGGAATGATTTCCTAGAACTTCTCCGGAGAAGATTCGGTAAATTTTGTTGTTTGTTTGTTGATATTAGATTTTGGAGACTAGCAGTAGCTTTTAGGCTTGTATTACAGTGGTGAAATGCTACCGGTTGGCCGAACTGATAGTTAAAAAAGCCTCCGACGATCAGCCGAGAAGAGAAAGAAGAGAAAAACACCGCTGCACTTTTCTTTAGCCTCTCAGCTGATGTATGGAAAGCTGCCCGCACGCTGCTTTAGATGCGCACGCACGCGATCACCAAACCCTTAGGGGAACAGGTAGAATCCCACCACTGCTTATATACCACCACTCTATAGCTTTAGTGCGCTCTCTGGGCAGTTTACTATATTTGCATATTGCCCTGAACAACCTGGGTCCTCCTTTTACCGACCTCGGAAGGACGGAAGACCGAGTCAACCTTGAGCCCATCAGTATCAAACTCCTGGCAGTGGGCAGAATTAGCCTGCAATAACTGCACTTCAATCGCGGTGCCATCCATGCCCGATTCCCAAAACAAACTCAGTGGTTTAGGGGTGCCTTTTTTTTTTTTTTTCAAGAGGCAACTGGACTTTCTGGTTTTTCTTTGAAGACGTTTCGCTTCTCGTCCGAGAAGCTTCTTCAACTCTGAGAGAGTTGCCTCTTGAAAAAGCACTTTTGGGACAACCATGACCTGAAAGACTGAAAGGATCTCCATAAACATTGAGCGGCTTAGAATAAAAACAAAGGGGAAAAAACAACAACCCGAAATAGTAAAAATAATGTACATTCAAAAGTGGAAAAACTCCCAGATTGGGCATCCAACTAAATCCCAGGCCTGAAAGCCGAAATGTCAACTCATAAAATATTTCTATGGTCTTTTTAGCGGGGAGAAAGGGGTTTTGAAAGAGCAGTGCGGCAGCTTGGAAATCAAAAGTGCATTCCATAAATAGTTTTTCAAAGATAGTAACTAGGTGACTGAAATTTCTGCCATGCAAAATTCTAGCTGGAGAATATGATTGAAGACTCTTGGCTATGGATGTGTCCCATTGGAGAATATGAATTACGATACACCCAGGGGGTGGGGAAAACGAGGGTTAAGGGTGACAATGAATGATGTGTCTCAGAGTCGGCTACACCCAGGCAGTGTCAGACATGTTAACTCCCAATAAATCCTTTTGAAGTTTTGGAAGTTTGGCTCGAGACTCATGATTTAAATGGGGGTAACTTCTGGAATCCTAACAGCTAGCCAACTCTCATAATCCATCATCAGACACATTTTAAAAACTTCTTTTGACAATTGTAAGGTGCCAATCTTTGGGAAGATGCTATTCCACAATTGGAAAAGCTGTGATAAAACGATGCTTCTTTAGCTCACTTGGAAATGTTTTAGCTAACTCCCAGTGTCAACTCATAAAACATTTTGTATACACGTTTTATAGTTGACCACAGAAAGGCGGGGGGGGGGTGGAGTTTCTGAGCAGGCGGCAGTGTGGAATCGAAAGTACATTCCATTCATATTTTCTTCAAAGGCTGATTAGATGACTGAAGCTTCTGCTGCGCAAAAATCTAATTGGAGAGCATGATTGATGACTCTTGTCTATGGACGTGTTTTGTTGGATGATACACCCAGAGGAGTCGGGGGAAAAACAGGATCAAGGGTGACAGCGAATTACGTATCTCAGAGTTGGCTACGCCCAGGTTAATGCCAGATGTAGAATGTTATAAATAAATCCTTTTTAGTTTTGTGAGTGTGGCTCGAGGCTCATGATTTAATTGGAGTAACTGCCAGAACCCTGACATCCAGCTTCTAATTAAGAATGGTGTCGTTTTTCTTCTTCTCCTAGGAACAAAGCGAGTCCATAACAATATTGTATACAATGAATATATCAGCCATCGGGAACACATCCATATGAATGCTACCCAGTGGGAAACTCTGACAGATTTTACAAAGTGGCTCGGGAGGGAAGGTAAGGCTGTCCTTGCATGGAGCCCCTCCTGGGAGGAATCGGAGTGCTGGAGGCAGTTGAGCCAGTCACAAAGAGTCAGTCACAAACAGAAGACCTTGCTGATAAAACGAGTTCAACCTTATCACTATCCCAATATTTTAACACTTGCTTTGTTTTAAAACGAGTTAAACCTTATCAATATCCCAATATTTTAACACTTGCTTTGTTTTAAATGCGTTGGGAGGCAGATGTAGGAGGGGTGGTCATTTGAATGCCGCACAGGTAATCCACAACTTACGATCACAATTGAACCTGGCATTTCGGTTGTTAAACGAGACATTTGTTTTGCCCCGTTTTTTTACGACCCTTCTTGCCACAGTTGCTAAGTGAATCACTGCAGTTGATAAGCTCGTAACCTGATTGTGACGTGATTCCGGCTTTCCCCATTGACGTTGCTTGTCGGAAGGTTGTAAGAGGTTATCACAGGGCCTTGGGGCACAGCGACGGTCATAAGTATGAACCAGTCGCCAAGGATCTGAATTTTGACCACGGGTTATGCGGGAAACTTTGAAAAGCGGTCCTAAGTCCCTTTTTTCAGTGCTGTTGTAAGTTTGAACGACCACTAAATGAACTGTTGTAAGTTGAGGACTACCTGTATTTGAGAATAGATGGAAGAATAGTACATTATAAGGGCTCCAATAGACCGTGGTTCCTAATCTTTTCTATACTTCGCGCCCCTAGAATGTGCCTCTGAAATATTCTCACACCCCTTATAAAAGTAAATAATTACATGCATGTAATTACCCTGTAAAATACGGCCTACACCCCCTCTTCCTCCTAGGGCACGCAGGGAGGAACGGAGAAGGGAGCAACAGGGATTACGGGGGAGAAAAGGGCCCTGATTCCCTTCATTAGCTGCAGCGGGGAAACAGGATTTAAAAAGGGTGTTTGCGCACAGCACCGTGCTGGAAGCAAAGCGTGAATTATCTTTGTTTGTCATGTCTTATCTGGGTTTTGGCGTCCTCCCAACTGTGTGTGTTTCATTATCTTTTGAAGTCTGCAATTCCTTATCCTGCCCTGTCTCTTTAATTGCTGCAACATGGTTTGTGTTGGTTTTTATTTATAATCTATATGTACTTTGGGTTCGGACTGAATTTCTTCCCTTTAAAAACTGCTCTTGGGAGAGTTTTTTCTCCAGCCGATGATAACTGGACATTGGGGGCCAAGTTAGAGATATTAAACGGACTTTACCTACTTTTGTGTCTGTATTGCCTTTGTGCCTCTCCCCTTTGGGTCATCACAATAACTCCCTTATTCCTCCCAGAAATGACGGTATTAACCACGGCAAATATGCTTCCTTAAGGCCTTTGCAAAGTCGACGAAACGCCCAAGGGCTGGTACATCCAGTACATTGACCGAGACCCCGAGACCATCCGTAGGCAGCAGGAACAGGAAAAGAAGAAAAAACAGGATTTGGACGATGAAGAAAAAACGGCCCGATTCATCGAACAGCAAGTCAGGAGGGGCTTGGAGGGAAAAGATCAGGTGAGGCAACCATCTTATAATGTCTCAGGAACCAAAGAGAAAAGGAACAGCCATTTTGATATTCCTTCGTTCGACAATTTAATACAGGTTACAACTCGCAAGTCAGCCCAACATTTCTGTTGCTGAGCAAGACGGTTGTTAAATTTGCCCCAGTTTATGACCTTCCCGGCCACCGTTGTTCAGTGGTGATTCACCACTGTTGTTAACTGAAGCTGACTTGCTTATTGACTTTGCTCGTCCGAAGGTCGCAAAAGGGGATCGCGTGGCCCCGGGATACCGCAACCAGCATAAGTACATGCCAGTTGCCAAGCATCTGAATTTTCATCACATGACCATGGGGATGTTGCAATGGTCATAAGTGTCAAAAACTCCCTTTTTTCAGTGCTGTTGTAACTTTGAACAGTCATTAAACAAATGTGGTTGTAAGTTTAGGACTACCTGTACTATGTGGATGAGAGAGACGGGATCAGCAAAGTGGATCATCAAATACAATTAGTAGGTTAATATGTCCCTCAAATTCTACAATTTATTTGTGTGTGTGTCCCTGCTATAAGTCAGACACTAGACTGTCCCACGACCCCTAGATTTATTCCCAAGAATATTTGGTCTACCAAACTTAATTTCTTCTGGATTGCAACAAAGCCAGCTCTAACTTTGTGCTTTCCTGTTGGGTTCACAAATCCGTAGACGGTTTTTTTCTGTCGTTGCAGGAAGAGCCGATCTTCACAGAACTGAACAGAGAAAATGAGGAGGAAAAAGGTAAATCATTCCGTGTGGAAAATCTACTATAAGGTTCACAGTCTAAGACTTGTGGAGACTTAATAATTCAAGGAGACAGCGAGTTCTAGTTCCACCTTAGGCTTGAAAGCCAATTGGATGACTTTAGGCCGAAGTTATTGGAGTCTAGTCTTGCATTTATATGCATTTTTAGTTATCCTCCATCATTGGTTAACTTTGGTTACTGCTTAACTTTTGTTACTGTTTAGTACAGTAATCCATACAATTAATTATCTCTAGTTAAAGTCTAACGTATGTTTACTTCCTCTCTCTAATCCTCCTTTAGATTAGTGACTTCGTTGCAAAAGAAATGAGCAATCTTTTTTTCCTTCCCTCTTTTAGTGACCTTCAATTTGAACAAAGGAGCAAGCACTTCAGCCGCTGCAGCACAACAACCCAAAGGCAGGCAAGTATTACGGTTGGTTGTAACGTCAGTCACTAAACGAACTGTTGTAAATGGAGGATTCCCTGTAAACCCTCAACAGGCGGGTGTGCGCTGCTTCTGGGAATTTCCTGTCCCTTCTCCCTCCCTTCCCCAAACACAGGGTAAGGAGAGAATTTGACTCCCACATGAATCCAGTCCAGCAAAGATTCCCTGCATTCGTGTTACCCTTTGAATCGGGAAGGAAACCTGAAGCCACTTTCCATACTACGGGATTAAGTCTCTGTGGAGAATCTCAGTCTTCCAGGTCGTGGTTGTCCCAAAGGTGTTTTTTTCAAGAAGCCCCTGGGCTTTCTGGTTTTTCTTTGAAGACGTTTCGCTTCTCATCCAAGAAGCTTCTTCCGCTCTGACTTGATGGTGGGGAATGGAAGGAATTATACTCCTTGCAGGCAGCTGGTCATTTGCATCCTTTTTAGAGAGTCCTTGAGGCCACTTGGAGCTTTATCTGTGCCCTCAGGGTCACCAGTGGTGCAAATGGGTGTGGAACCTTCTTGGAACTGTTGAAAGGGCTGTTTGTAGACTGGAGATAGATGATGTCCCTCTTCCTTTGTTGAAAGAGGGCAGTTTTGACATAGATGGTCTCTTCTGACATAAACGGACAGTTCCAAGAAGGTTCCACAACCCTTTGCACCGCTCCAGTGACCCTGAGGACACAAATAAACCTCCAGGTTGCCTCAACGACCCTCTAAAAGGCTGCAAATGACCAGCTGTCTGCGAGGAGTATCAATCCTTCTATTCCCCACCATCCAGTCAGAGCGGAAGAAGCTTCTTGGATGAGAAGAGAAATGTCTTCAAAGAAAAGACAAGAAAGTCCAGTTGCCTCTTGAAAAAAAAAAGCACCTTAGGAGACTAAGGCAAATCACCTTATCAAATCTCGACAGGCTCCCCACAACTATTAATCCATCTCTGTTTTCTCCAGCGTGCTGAAGCCATCAGGAGCGCTGCTCCCTGTCAAGCGGAAAGAAATCCCTCCGACGTCAAAGCAAAATAAGGAGAAGAAGAAGAAGAGGTCTGCCCTTGATGAGATCATAGAGGTGTGGTGGAGATCCAGCTACTGATACATTCTGCTTGGCGATGATTGTGAGGCAGGAACAACGGGCAGGGGACGTGAGATAACCAGAGAACATCCGTGGGGTCCTTGGTGCTCCCTGAGTTTGGTTTTTTTTTTCTCGCCGATGTTTCATGACCCAACTAGGTAACGATATCAGGGCTAGGTAGGAGTGGGTTTTGTGGAGATGAGGAGGAGGACTGGCACTCTCTGAGTTTGGTTGTCTTCTTGTAGACGTTTCATCACCCAGCTAGGTAACATCATCAGTGCTAGATGGGAGTGGGGTTTATGGAGAGGAGGAGAAAGGAGGACTGTAGGCTCCTTGGTGCTTTCTGAACTTGGTTGTCTTCTCACAGACCTTTCTTGACCCAACTAGGTAACATCAACTGTAGCTAGCAAAAACCGTGTCGGAGCACTTGGGACTCCACAGTTCAATACTGAGCTAAAAATATTCTATCGGCAGCAAATGTTTTTCCATGTTTTGCCAAGGTGCCCATGTGGGAGGCAGGGAGGACTAATAGTAATATTTGGGCATCTGGGTGCGGGGTGTCTTCTGCTCATAAGAAAATGGCAAAGATCAAAATTAAGAAGATCCCAAAACCTAACTCCCAGTTTAGTGGTTTACTAGAACATTGCCGACTAACTAGTAATCATTCGATCGCCTATGTTGGTTGGATCTCACCCTGAATCTTGTATCCAGTTCTGGGCATCCTTTTGAAGGATGGTTCATACTTAAGATTAACGCTGTGTCCCCAGGTCATGGGATCCCTTTTTACAACATTCTGACAAGCAAGGTGAGAATTCCACGGTCTAGTTAATGCGAGGATCTCTATATGTACATAATTTTGCACTTCTTTCTTTATTTTGTCATGCTCATGTAACGTACAACAGAGGCTGCGATTCTTTGAGAGCTGCATGTGATGAAATTTCATTTTAATGCATGCCGATTAGTATACATTCAATAAAGTTATTTTTCTATGTTCTGTTCTGTCATTAAGAATATGCTCTCCATATTTCAGTTCCTTTTGATTTTTCTGGAAGGCACAAAATCCATTATGTAAAAGATTTTACTATGGTAGGATACCTTCCAGACATTATGTGATGACCCAAAGGGGCGTGGCACCAAAGCAACAAAATTACAAAAATAGGTAAAGTCCCTTTAATACCTCCAACTTGGCCCCCAGTGTCCAGTTATCATCGGCTGGAGGAGAAAAAAACTCTCCCAAGAACAGTTTTCAAAGGGAAGAAATTCCATCTGAACTCAAAGTACATATAAATTATAAATAAAAACCAACACAAACCACGCTGCAGCAATGAACGAGACAGGGCAGGATAAGGGATTGAAGACGTCAAAAGATAACAAAATACACACCACCTGGGAGGATGCCAGAACTCAGATAAGACTTGACAAACCAGAATAACTTCACGCTTTGCTGCCAGCAACTTTGCCATGCGCAGTTTGCCCTTTGAAACAGTCTTCCCAGCTGCAGCCAATGAAGGGGATCAGGGCCCTTTTCTCCCCCATAAACCACGCAACCCACGTTGCTCCCTTATCCATTTCTCCCTGCATGCCCTAGGATGAAGAGGGGGTGGGCCTGGGTCTTCCTCTGAATGCCCAGCCGGACTGTGCTCTTTCCCAGTTTCCTCCACAGCCACCAGAGCCACACTCCCACTCCCTGTCAGCTGTTCCACCTCTCCCTTGGAATCAGATTCCAACGGGGGCACGATACATTATTTTTAGTTGATCTCACCTGCAAGACCAAATTGAACTAATACTTGTATTTATTTATTTTTTTCTCATAATTCTCCTAGTTTGAAGAAGAGAAGAAAAAGTCTGCCCGAAAGGACTATTGGTTGCAACCTGTAAGTATCCAAATGGTTGTCCGGAATCTGTCATGATGTAGCTTGCCTTGATTGCATTTCATTTTATCCTATTGCAGAATGAATTAACTGCAGAAAGGAAGTGAGATCTACTTGCCTGTCATTAACCCCAATCTCTTTTCTAGGAAATTGTGGTCAAAATCATAACCAAGAAACTTGGCGAGAAATACTATAAAAGAAAAGCCGTCGTTAAGGTGAGTACGGAGCCTTTTGTCTGCCCTTCCAAAAACGTTGGTCACAGAGAGGGACGAGTGTTAGGGTGCTTGGAGCCAGGTGTAAAGGAAAACGCTCCATGGGAGGATAGGAAGAATAATTGCATATCAGCTTTGGAAGGGACCTTGTAGGTCATCTAGTCCAACCCACTGCTCAAGCAGGAGACCCTATATCATTTCAAAGTTTGGAGACCCCTGGTTGAACCGATTAACCATGGCTGGCCAACCGAAACATCCGGGCAACTCGAAAAGCCAAAACAACAAGATGATAAGACAGTCCTTGGCTTACGAGGAGTCCTTGCGCTTGTGACAGTTGCGGCATCCCAGGGCCATGTGATCAAAAATTGGGCCCTTGGCAGTCAGCATGTATTTACAAGTAGTCCTCGTTTTACAACAATTCCTTTAGTGATTGTCCAAGGTTACAATGGCATTTAGGACCATTTTTTCACAGCGATGACCTGTGCAGCGTTTTGGGAGATCGTGTGATCAGAATTCAAATGCTTGGCAACCGACATGTACTTATGACAGTTGCAGTGTCCCCGGAGTCACGTGATTCCTCTTTTGCGGCCTTCTGACAAGCAAAAAGCTAATGCAATCCTAAGTTGCATTAACAGAGGGATACAATCGAGATCAAAGGAGGTACTAATACCACTCAATAAAGCCTTAGTAAGACCACACCTGGAGTACTGCATCCAGTTTTGGTCACCACACTATGAAAAAGATGTTGAGACTAGAAAAAGTACAGAGAACAGCAACCAGGATGATTAGAGGACTGGAGGCTAAAACATACAATGAACAGTTGCAGGAACTGGGCCTGGCTAGTCTAGTGAAGAGAAGGACCAGGGGAGACAGGATAGCAGCCTTCCAATATTTGAGGGGCTGCCACAGAGAGGAGGGGGTCAAGCTATTTTCTAAAGCACCCAAAGGCCAGACAGGGAATAATGGATGGAAACTGAACAAGGAGAGATTCAACCTTGGAAATAAGGAGAAACTTTTCTGACAGTGAGAACAATCAACCCATGGAACAGAAGTTGCTCTCGGAAGTTGTGGGAGCGCCATCACTTGAGACCTTCAAGAAGAGACTGGATTCCCATCTGTCAAAAACGGTATTAGGGTTTCCTGCTTCGGCCAGGGGATGGACTAGATGACCTACGAGGTTCCTTCCAACTCTGATTATCTGTTAAAGTCAACAGGGAAGCCAAATTCGCTTAATGATCAGGTTGCCAGCTTATCAACTGCGGGGATTCGCTTAATAGCTGTGGCAAGAAACGTCGTAAAATGGGGCAAAACACACATAAGAAACGTCTCCGTTAACAACAGAAGTTTTGAGCTCCATTGTGGCCGTAAGGTGAGGACTACCTTTGCAACAGGTGCAGCATTGTGGGGACATGGGATCTCCATTTTGACCTTTCCAGTTGGCTTCCAACAAGCTAAGTAATTGGGAAAGCTTGACTCACATAATGACTGCATGATTCACTTAAACAATCATGATCATTTGCTTGGCAACACAGCAAAAGGTCATAAAATTGAATACTGCTTACTTAACCACCCCACCGCTTCTCAGCAGAAATGCCACACATCCAATTGTGGTCATAAGCCGAGGACTACCTGCCTAGCTTAATACGATGATGATGACCTGGTTCTCCACAACATGCTAATCATGCATAATGTGGCTTGTTTGTTTTGGGCAGCCATCATGAAGTAGAAATAAACCATGATTTCCGGTTCCCTGTGTTTGTGCAATAGATCTAGTCTGTGACTTCTTTCTGACAATTTTAAGAATAATAGCAATGAATTCTTCTTTTAATCCACATGTAATTGATGCGGCAGGAGGTCATTGACAAATACACAGCAGTGGTGAAAGTGATCAATTCTGGAGATAAGCTCAAACTTGACCAGACGCATCTTGAAACGGTGATCCCAGCCCCAGGTGAGCCTTTTCTGGAAAAGGAATTCTTGATAAGGGTGGCCCCTGCTTTTCAATGTCTCTTCTCCTGTTTGCCTTTCAATTTCTCATTTGGAGATGGTGGTTAAATATAGCTTCTAAAAATATAGTTCGAATCCCACCAGGCTCAAGGTTGACTCAGCCTTCCGTCCATCCGAGGTGAGTAAAATGAGGACCCAGATTGCTAGAGGCCATTGGCTGATTCTGTATAAACCGCTTAGAGAGGGCTGTAAAGCACCGTGAAGCGGTATAGAACTCTAAATGCTATTGCAATGATAGATAGATAGAGGGAGGAAGCACTGTGGCGGCACGGTGGTTAGAGTGCAGTATTAATTCTGCTGACTGCCTGTAGTTTGATTTTGACCGGCTCAAGGTTGTCTCGGCCTTCCTTCCTTCTGAGATGGATAAAATGAGGAGCCAGATTGCTGGGGGCAAAAGTCTGATTCTGTAAACCTCTTGGAGAGGGCTGTAAAGCACCGTGAAGTAGTATATGTCTAAGTGCTGTTGCAATAATAGATAGATAGATAGATAGATAGATAGATAGATAGATAGATAGATAGACAGACTGATAGACAGACAGACATGATAGACAGACAGACAGATATGATAGACAGACAGACAGACAGACATAGATAGATAGATAGATAGATAGCCAGATAGATATGATAAATAGATATGATAGATAGATAGATAGATAGATAGATAGATAGATAGATAGATAGATAGGGATGGATGAGAGAGAGGGAGAGATAGATGATAGATAGATACCTAGATATAGATATATAGACAGAATATATAAATGGAATATGGTAATAGAATATGAAGAGACAGACAGACAGGCAGATGATAGATAGATAGATAGATAGATAGATAGATAGATAGATAGATAGATAGACAGACAGACAGACAGACAGACAGACAGAGGGGTGAGTGAGTGAGCTATGGTGGCACAATGGTTAGAATGCAGTATTGCAGGATAATTCTGCTGAATACCAGTGGTTTGATTTTGACTGGCTTAAGGTTGACTCATCCCGTCAGAGTGAGTACAGTGGAAACACAGATTGTTGGGGACAATATGCTGACTTTTTAAAGCACTTAGGGAGGGCTGTAACACACTGTGAAGCAGTATATAAGTCTGGGTGCTACTGCTATTGCTATGCAGCGTGTGGGATTAGTGGAAAGAAAGTATACTCAAACTAAAAAAAAAAAAACAACCTTGGGGCTCAGCCCAAACCTGTGAAGCAAATCATTTATGTTCTTACAGGGGTGGTTTAATTATCATTGCCCATAGGTTTTGCTCCCAGGGTTGGGAGTTCAAATCCCATTCCAATATCAAAGGCACACGGCAGACGACAGCATTAATAAAACAGAGAAGGACATTATTCACGGCTCCTAGAAATAGACTCCGATTTCTTGAGATCAAAGGAAGAAAGAGGGGGGATTTATCCCCAAGCAGTTAGTAACCGGGCATAGGAGAAAAGCCTTGGATTAGATTAACCGATGTCAGATTTGAGATGGGTGAAATTCATCCCTGTTCATCTTACAGGTAAAAAGGTATTGGTTTTAAACGGAGGCTACCGAGGGAATGAAGCCACGTTACTGGGCATCAACGAGAAGTCATTTTCCGCCACGGTCCTCATTGAATCGGTAAGTATCTTTTAATAGTTGTATAACAGGCAGCCACATCCTTTCCTTGTTTACAGATCCTTAACAAGAAATTTAGAAAATAGATTCACTCAATGAGTTAAGGTTTTTGGGTTAAATTTGAGGCACAAACTCAAATAAGCAAATCTTCACAATAATAAGTGAACTAATTGTCTTCTGCAGGCACCCTCTCCTTTTGCTCCTCTTTATTCCCTATGGGAGGAGGCCATTCAGCATCCACTTGTGCCTTTTCTTCCGAGTCGACCCCTGTTCCTTAGTTGTTCCCTTCCCCTGACAGCTCTGTGCATGCACGCATCTGGAACAGACTCCAGCTGTTCTTCTTCCCCATGTATCTCCAACTCCAAAGGCAGCTGATAAATATCAGACAGCCCTGTCCCCCTCTCTGCCTCCGATGAAGGGCACCCGTCAGAGCCTTCCCCAAACTCGAGGACTGGCCCACGTTCCTCCCCAACCTCCTCCCTACTCAAGTCTGCCGCCAGCTCCTCTGCCAGTTGGTGGGCCCCTACCGCCATAAGGGAACTAACCACCTTGAGGCTGTTGACCATTATCTAACTTTAACCTGATGTCAACTCTGAAGTGAATCTGGCTGAAGCCGTCTTGTGCCGCCTCATAGTTGCCACGAAGCCTGAGAGAGGGAAGGGAAGGCGGGGAGTAGATAGTCCAACTCACCACCAAACCAAAAAGTTTTCCTGTGGGAACCAAGGTCCTTGTAACAGGTGGCTGTTGAAGGACGAGAGGAGCGACCAAGCAGCCTGTCAGCCGTATTCGTTGGACAATGTGATCGGTGACATCTGGGAGTGGGCAATTTTCACTCTTTTAATTAGGTGAAAACCCGCGGGAACTTTTAAGAGTTGTTTTTCACCGGCTGTGCCGATATGATGTACCCAATAAACATGTTCTTTGAGGAATCTACCTACTTCTGCTTTCAGTGGGTGCGTTACTCGAAATGTTGCTGACCAGTAGTTGAAAAGATGCATAAACTTTTAGCAATGAACCAGCTTAATGTGCGGACCTAGTTTTTCATGCCGGACATTCTCTAGGCTTCCACCTTTCCCAGAATTGGAGCCTCCTCCAGGGAGCTGGGGGTTCATGTAATGTAGGGGTCCCCAAAGCTGGCTGTCATGCCCCTGGTGGAAACTGACTCTGAGGGAGAGGAGGAACAGCCAACAGGGAGTGGAAGTGTGGCTCCGGAGGTTGTGGAGGAGGCTGGGGGAGGTCAGAGGTCAGTTGAGCAGTCAGAGGAGGACCCAGGCCCACCCCCTATCCATCCTAGAGCACGCAGGGAGGAGAGGATAAGGAAGAGATGTGGTCTACTTGGGAGGAGAGGGCCTTGATCCTCTTCATGGGCTGCAGCTGTGATAACTGAATAAGAGGACGGACTTGCGTATGGGCGAGTACTGGAAAGAAAACGGGGAAATATTTCTAGTTGATGATTCCTCTCTGAGTTTGGAATCCTTCCCAGTGTGTGTTATCTGTGGACGTCAGCCAGGCCTTATCTTGCCTGGTTTGTGTTGCTTTTTTCTTTCTTCTTGTAACTGTTTGTGTGGGAGTTTTTTGTTTTCCGTCAAGAATATTCGGAGCTTGGAAGGAAAGTGAAGGAATAAAAGGGGCTTCACCTGTTTTCTGTGGCTGTGCTTGTTTTGTATCCCACCCTGGGACATCGCACTGGCAACTTTAAGACTTGTGTGGACTTCCACTCCCAGAATTCCTCAGCCAGGCTGGCTGAGGAATTCTGGGTGTTGAAGTCCACAAGTCTTAAAGGGGCCAAGTTTGGAGAATCTCTGATGTCCCAACTCAGTTGCCTCTTGAAAAAGCACCTTTGGGACAACCGTGACCTGGATGACTGAGAATCTGCATAAACCCTCAAGACCTCTGGTGTAATGTATCAAATGTAGGATGATTTGATCCTATTGGCCCTTGAGTTGTGATGACCACTGGTTTATTTTCTTGGCGCCCAAAAACTTGGAACTTCCTTAAAACTTCCTTTTCTTCCCTCTGCAGGGAGCTCTGAAAGGACATCAGGTGGATGGTATCCCATACGAAGACATTTCCAAGTTGGCCTCCATTGACTAAAAGAGCTGATGGGATCTCTGAGGAACAACTCACGTAGACGCTCAACTCAAGAACTGTCAACTTCAAGGAGCGAACGAGATCGCTGAAGGATGCCCTATAAATACAATACATTGGATCCTCTATTGATAATCCCTTTCTAGATCCACCACGGGCAAGCTCGTAATAGATTTCTCCTCGTTTATTGTTGGGAATCTTGATTAGATTGGTTCAACTGTAGCAAAGTATTAGCCATCTACAGCCCTGTGGTCCGTAGAACGTTTTTGTAACGTACATTTCTGGCACAAATTGGAACTATCTGCAGTTGGAGGTATCTTCTACCTGTAGAGCCACATTACAACATGGTGTTGCAACTTCAGGGGTGCAGCCGAAGAGTTTAGCTTTCTCACACGCTGACACGAAAATAGTCTTTCGTTCCGTTGGGATGGGATTAACCAGCAACAGGATGTCTCTTTTCCCCACCCCACAAATAAGCATAACCTGCCAACATCACCCGCCAATTTTTTAACTGGCCAATTTTTTACACAATCCTCAAGACTTAGAAAGACCCTTGATGGTCGTGTGCCAATCTTGTGAGAAAAGCATGCCAGTTCTAAGTCATGGCTTCTGACGCAATCAGAGAATCTTCGAAGAGCTCCAGTTGTTTATTTATTTATTTATTTCGGTCCTTCCTTGTACCGTAGAAGTGGCTACCAAGCCTCCTGGTAGGAAGTTTTATCACATTTGAGGAAAAAAAATTCTTCGGAGCAGCCCATAGATCTGGTCCCACGGTTCGGTGGACCTTCTGAATTCGACTACATCCCAGGGTCCATTTTTGCATCGCGACGTTTAGCGATGTTGAAATATTTTAAGAGAATTGGTAACGATAGCTCTCTGCTTGGAAAACCAGATCTTTTTCAATCTGGGCTTTCACTATTCCATTACGCGGTTCTTCGGACCAGCAGAAACATCCATTAATGGTTGTTTTTTGTTTTTTAATTGTATAATGATTTTGTACAGAAGAGAGAAGATGGAGTTATTTTATTGATGCGGTGTTTCTTTTGAACCATTGTGCGCGTCCCAAAGTAAATGGACTTCGATGCCCTTAAATTGGCTCATGGCTTTATTTCAGAAGGCAGATTTGGGCTTCTGAACTCCAACGTTTAACTTGTATTCCTTTGAAGTTGCGAGTTTACGAAGATGCTTTTCAAATTAAATTCAGGAGCGCGGAATCTTCGGTTCACACCGAGATGTGGTGTGATGATCAGATGCTTGTCACCAGTCCGTACCTTGCCTAAAGTTATACGTCTGAGCAAATTGGAGCTGACGTACCATATTTTTTGGAGTATTAAAACGCTCCAAAGTATAAGACACACCTAGCTTTGGGGGAGGAAAACAAGGGAGGAAAAACAAATCTGCCTTTGCCTCCTTGAAGCAAAGAGCAAACAGCCTGGTCAGCTTCAGCACACCCTGATTAGCACAGGCAGCCATTCCGATCCCCGCCGCCCAGAACAGGCTGAAAATGGGACGTGGAGGCCAAAAAATGGGGCGCACGGAGGCGGCAATAGGCGACGGCAACCCCTGCAGCTTGAAACAGCTGATCGTCGGCAGGTCGATCCAACCGACGATCAGCTGCTTGTGCTCATCAGGCTGTGCTGAAGCTGAACCAGGCTGTTTGCTGCAAGGAGGCAAATGGCTGGGAGGGCCGAGGCTGAAGGGAGGGCGGGGCTTCAGCAACATTCGCTGTATAAGACGCACAAACGTTTCCGCCCACTTTTTGGGGGGGAGGGTACGTCATACGCCGAAAAATACGGTATAATTTGACGGTACAATAGTGAGCCCTCATTTATTGTCATCCCAGCTGTCTTTAACTATCACAGTTACACGTCAGCAAGTAATGCACCCACACAAAGCAAAACTCCGAGGCAGGCAGATTCCTCAAAGAACAGTTTATTGGCGCCACTGGTGAAAACCGACTGAAAAGTTCCCACGGCTTTCACCTAATTAAAAATAAAAGTTTCCCCATTCCCCGCAAGTCACTGGTCGCACTGTCCAATCCAGGAGTTGGGCGGTTGCTTGGTTACCTCACTCTTCCTCTGGCCAGCCACCTGTGAGAATGTCCGTGATTCCCACAGGAAAGCTTTATTGTTTGGGCTACAAAATCCCATCTAATTATTTCCCACCCACCCAACTCTTCCCTCTGGTGTGGCAGCCCCGAACCCTCCAAAATTGCCTCAGCAATGTTCACTTCAGGGTTGACATTACAAACTTAGCAGATGTGTTCAGACAGGTGCTAAGCTTTGTTTCAACTTTTAACTACCATGTTTTTCGGAGTATAAGACGCACCAGACTATAAGATGTACTTTGCTTTAGAGGAGGAAAATAACAAAAAAAAATATTTTTGCCTCTGTGTGTCCTGTTTTTGCCGTCCCCGGCATTGGCACTCTGCAGGCCAAAAACGGGCGCATTTTTGGCCTCCAGTTTGGGCCCCCAGACAGCAGGGAGGGCAAAAACAGAATGCATGGAAGCTTTGGGACGCTAAAAACGGGCCTCTATTCGCTGTATAAGATGCACAGACATTTCCACCCACTTTTGGAGGGTGGGGTTAGGGAGAGAAGTGTGTCTTATATTCCCAAAAATATGGTAATTTTCTTATCCATCATAGGATGCCAACGCAGGGTGGATTGGTTAATTTCATTGTATTGCTCAAACTCGGGAATTGGTTTCATTCAACCAGGTTAAGGGAGTTGTGTGAATGCATAGGCCTTTGCTGATAGGCAGTGTTTGGGGGAATCTATAAAGGTAGAGGTTCCCCTTGCACATGTGTGCTAGTTGTTTCCGGCTCTAGGGGGCGGTGCTCATCTCTGTTACAAAGCCGAAGAGCCAACGCCGTCCCAAGACGTCTCCGTGGTCATGTGGCCAGCAGGACTAAACGCCAGAAGGCAGGCAGAGCACTGTTCCCACCGATGTGGTCCCTATTTTTCTACTTGCATTTTTACATGCTTTCGAATTGCTAGATTGGCAGACAAGGAACGGGAGCTCACTCCATTTTGCGGCGCTAGGGATTCGAACTGCCAACCTTTCTGATCGACAAGCTCAGCGTCTCAGCCACTGAGCTACCGAACATTGTAACTCAATCTACAGGAAGCAGAGAAAATAAATGAGGGCTCCAAATTGTACTACGGCTAGAGGTTTGTCCGGGAAGGGAAAGTAGAATTTCTTTGTCCTCGGAGGAAAAGAATGGGACCTGTAGTATTTAAACAAGTGCAGGGAGTCCTTGACAAACAACCATGCCTGATCCAGAATTACGGTCATAAGTCATTGTCCTTAAGTGAGCGAGTGTATGACCATGCACAGTTTTTTAAGTCTTTCTTGTGGCAGCCATTACTTGAATGCTGCATTTGTTAAGCAAATCCCTTTTATCCAATCAAATTAGTGTTTTTTTTTAGCAGGCAACTAGAAGTAAGTTATTTCCAAACTCTGGAAACCAGCAAAGAAAAGTCCAAAATTGCAATCGTTTGATTTTGAGAGGCTGCAAACTGGCTTACGTGTCTTTTGAGGGGTCCGTTACAACTTCGGATAATTTTTAAGTGACCCATCGTAAGTCGAGGACGATCTGTATTCTCTTAAGGACACAATTTAAGCGACAGCTAAATCTGTAATTTAAATTTGACCGCTAGATGGCAGGGTTTTTCTGCCTCGATTTCACCGGTGTTTCTTTTAAGGCAGGGGCATCCAATCTTGGCCACTTTTAAAACCTGTAGACTTCAACTCCCAGAATTCCCCAGGCATTAAAAAGTTTTCAAGGTTAGTGACTCCTGGTTCAAGCCCTCGTTTGAAAACTTCTCAGGCACATTAGATAAGTTGAACATGATACAATACTCATGGGGGGAGTTTACTACTTTAATTCTGTTCGGATACGCGGTCTTTATACAGTCGGGGAAAAACAATTTAAAAACAAAAAATTCTACGTTTCTCCAGCACTCTTTGCTGGTCACGTTTGCTGTCAAATGCAACTTTGCTCGAAAGTGGAATTTTTGGTTTGCATATTACACTAGCAGTCCCAGTGACACCACGTCCAAATATGGTGGGTTTGGGTTGGGGGGTTAATTTTAGGGGAGGGGGAACGTGCATAATGTTAGGCTGGAACAGGCCGCAATGAAGCTCTTCCCAAAGGCTGCTGCCCGTGTGAATTTGCTTACAGGGTGAGTTGCGTGGCCATTCGGGCAGTTTCCTTGCCCTGCTGTAAAGGTGAGCCTTCAGAAGTGCTTCAGGTAGCTGTATAAATTAGGGACAAGGTAATCTGTGTAGTGGCCATCAAGGAACCCTTTGCCGTTGTTGTGTACAAACCAGCACTGGACGTTGGTCCCAAACACACGGTCCAAGCGATAATCCTTTTGCAGGCCTCTGCGGGCAAATGCAAATAAAACATAAATCATCATCATGTAATTTTAGGCTTGACCTAAACCAGTAGTGAGATTCAAAAAAAATTTTTTACTACTGGTTCTGTGGGCGTGGCTTGGTGGGCACGGCAGAGAGAAATTACTATAAACTCTCCATTCCCACCCGACTCCTGGGGGAAGGATACTGCAAAATCCCATTCCCTCCCCACCCCACTAACCTGCTTTCCAGCTCCGTTCTCCTGTGCAGGGCAACCAAAGAAGACCCAGCCAATCAGCTGGGACTCAATGGGAGGCGGAGAAGAGATGGGGGCAGGGCCAGTCAGAGGCGGGATTTGCTGGTTCTGTGAACTACTCAACATTTTCCGCTACTGGTTCTCCAGAACTGGTCAGAACCCGCTGAATACCACCTCTGACCTAAACCAGCGCTTCTCAACTTTGGCAATTTTGACCCATATGGACTTCAACTTCCAGAAAACTTACCAAGGTTGAGAAAGTCTTCTCCAAAGTCACTGGGGAAGGGTTGATGTTAGGCCTAACAACCTATTAGCAATTGATTTTTCATTCTTTTCCCCAAGTATAGCTGACCCAGAGGTCGCCATGGACCCATCTGCTACCCATTGGCATTGTTTTTGAAGTATCTTGAAGCGAGCCAGATTGGTCTAGTGGTTAAGGCGCCAGACTAGAAACCGGGAGACCGGGAGTTCTAATCCAGCCTTAGGCGTGAAAGGCGGCTGGATGACTCTGGGCCAATCACCAGGAGATGCTGAGTCTTAGGCATAAAAGCCAGCTCTGTAATTTCTAGTCCTGAGTTCTAGTTAGGCATGAAAGCTGGCTGGGTGACTTTGAGCCAATCACCAGGAGACTGTGAGTTCTAGCCCTGTTTTAGACATGAAAGCTAGCTGGATGACATGGGGCCAGTCATGAGAGAGACAGACAGACAGACAGAAAAAATAAATAATAAAATCAACCATGATTTCAAGGTCTGTCCATATTCTGCTAAAAACGCTTCAACAACTTTCTCTGGGAGTTCAGTTTCCTAACACACACACACACACACACACACACACACACACACACACACACAAACGGCAACCATAGAAACCCTGTTTTTTATTGCGTCCGATGGCCTACCGGGTAACGGTCAGCTTGTGGCCTTTCACTTCCATGGTAGCATCAGTTTTCCCGGGATCTTGTCCTGGTCTTTCATTGTAGATCACCACGTCCTGTTCCTGCATAAACTGACCTAGGGAAGAATTTTGTTAAGTGTTGGTGAAAGGGGAACGTTTAGCTGAGATTTTGCCAACATGGTCAACTTAGAGGCATCCTGAAGAGTCTGTTAGAAGAATCAAGCCATGCTGGACACCAAACTCTGAAGCCCTGCTACTTAATCCTCGACTTAACAACAGTTCATTCCGTGACCGTTCAAAGTTAGGACGGCACTGAAAAAAAAAGGGACTTGTGACCATTTTTCACAACCTTTGTAGCATTCCCCATGATCATGTGATCAGAGGCTTGGCCACTGGGTTCATACTTATGACCGTTTCATATGTCCCAAGGTCGCGGAATCCCTTTTTGCAACTTTCTGACAAGTCAGTGGGGAAGCCAGATTCACTTAACAACCATGTTACTAACTTGTCAGCTGCAGCGATTCACTTAACAACCAAGGCAAGAAAGGTGAGGCAAAAACTCACCTAACAACTGTCTCGCTTAGCAACAGAAATGCTCAATTGCGGTCATAAGTTGAGGACTGCCTGCATAGCTTTGAATGATCATGAATAAACGAATGGCTGTAAGTTAGAGGTCTATCTATAAATAAATATAATAAATAACAATACACAAATGCTGCATCCCTCTCTGATGCTGTTCTGCACAATAACAGGAGACATTCCTTTATCTCCATCGTCCCTGTTTTAAGAGATGCTTTCCAGTTTTCTCAGGTCCTCCTTGCAGCCCTAATGTTGTGGCCCACCAGTGGCCAGCAGAGCTGGCAGCAGACTTGGACAGTGAGGAGGTCGGGGAGGAACCTGGGCCAGTCCTGGAGTCTGAGGAAGGCTCTGGCGAGGGCTCTGCATCCGAGGCAGAGATGGGGCCAGGGCCGTCCTACAGTTATCAGCTGCCTTCGGAGTCGGAGATCAGTGGGGAAGAAGAACAGCTGGAGCCTGTTCCCTGTGTGCGCATGCGCAGAGCTGCCAGGAGAAGGGAACAGCTAAGGAACAAGGGTCAACTCAGGAGTAAAGGCTCAGGTGGATGGTGAATGGCCCCTCCCATAGGGAATAAAGAGGAGTGAAAGGGGAGTGGGGGTTTTGCAGGAGACAATTCGTTCAATTCATCAGGGTGAAGATCTGTTCCTGACTTCTTGCCAAGTATTGTCTGCTACAGAGTGGCGTTTGGAAGCTATCGGCCTGGCAGCTCTCCAAGCCTGATAAAGGTCTGTAGTTGTGAAATCTCTTGAAAGACTGTTGGCCGGGACTTTGCTGGAGAAGAATTCACTTTAAATAAAAGGGGTTTTATTGGGACGAGGAGTCGGCTTCATGCTTTTGGGGAAAGCCTAGGTCAGAACACCTAAGTACCCAGAGTTATGGAACCGTCTCCTCCTCCCAGCCTTTACCAATGAGGCCATGCACAGCGGAGGAGAAATTATTTGCCGGAGGGATGTAGATGCCCAGGAAATCCACATTCACGGGGTGCTTCTTCCAAACCCGATGGAGAAGGACCATAAATGTCAGGTCCCCGTCTACGGTGAGAGTCACGTTGCTCTCTTTCTTGACCGAGACCAGCAACCTGGGAGAAGAAAACAACGGAAGAAGAAGGCCCTGCTTCAAATCAGTCTGCCTTCCCTAGAAGGCTTGTATATTTGCACAGGTCAAAAACCGGATGCCATAGTTTTTACCTCCTCCGAATGAGACTTCCTGTCTCTGACCAGGAAAGAGACGTGGTAGAAGAGCCATCCTTCAAGGTGATCGCCTCGGGACTGACTTCAACCTTCAGGCCTTTCACTTCAAAATTAAACCCAATCTTGCCAAAGTAGGTGTTGAGTTTGTTATGCAAGAACTTCTTGGCTCCAATGAGTTCCCCGTTAATTGTGATTCCTGGGAAGGAGGATGAAGAGAAAGACGGGGGGAGGTAGAAAGAATAAGAAAATAAGGAAGGAAAGGTAGGAAGGAGAAAGAGGAAAAGGAGAAGAAAGAAGAAGAGGAGGGAGAATAAGAATGAGGAGGAGGAAGGAGAAGAATAAGAAAAGAAAGGATAAGGAGGGAGAAGGAGGAAGAGGAGGAGAAGGGAGAAAGGAAGAGGAAGAGGAGGAGGGAGAAGGGAGAAAAAGAGGAAGAGGAGGAGGAGGAAGATGAAGAGGAGGAGGAGGATTATTAGCACTTTACCCGTTTGTCTGAAGATGCTTAGGAAGAATACTGACCCCATCCATGGTTACTACTTATGATATAACCAGAGCTACATCTCCAAGTCTGAGCCTCAGGATTCCCCCAAGTCCAAGGCTAGTGGCTTGCATCTCAGAGAGATTTTGCTAGCTTTTCGCTTGTTTTAAGATTCAATATTATGATTTGAGAGAACCTTTTCCCCCAGCCAACTATTTATGTCTCTCAGTTAAACCATATCTGATTGTGCATTTCTCTTACTGGACTCCACGTCTGAAATTAAATTCAGGATGGCCCCCGGTTGAGAATCAATATTGAAGCAGATGTTCTTCTGTTGCCTTGGGAGGGTGATGATGAAATGGGGATCGTTGTCCACTGGAAAGGAAGACGAAAGGGAATGCCTCAAAGAACGTGAAACAGACCTTCCTAAATATATTACATGTCTTACATGGGGATCTATTCTGTGGCCACACCCACCAAACGATTTCAGCAGATGTTGAGACTCTGGAAAGAGTGCAGAGAAGAGCAACCAGGATGATTAGGGAACTGGAGGCTAAAAGATACGATGAACGGTTGCAGGAACCGGGCCTGGCTGGTCTAGTAAAGAGAAGGACCAGGGGAGACCTGATAGCGGTCTTCCAATATTTGAGGGGCTGCCACAGGGAGGAAGGGGTCAGGCTATTTTCTAAAGCACTTGAAGGCCTGACAAGAAATAATGGAGGGAAACTGAACAAGGAAAGATTTAACCTGGAAATAAGGAGAAATTTTCTGACAGTGATAACAATCAACCCATGGAACGGAAGTTGCCCTTAGAAGTTGTGGGAGTGCCATCACTTGAGACCTTCAAGAAGAGATTGGACTGCCATTTGTCAGAAATGGTGTAGGGTCTCCCGCTTGGGTGGGGGGTTGGACTAGATGACCTACAAGGTCCCTTCCAATTCTGATTATCTGTTATCAGCATGTGTGTCCAATTATGCTGGTTTCTGCAAAAATCAGCACGATTGGACAGTCGATATTCCCCAAAGCACCACAGGGCAGGATAAGAAGCAATGGATGGAAACGAACCGTGCATAAGCACACAATCATGCCTACCGTCCCTGTCCTATTGGTCCCCAATTATTAGTTCCTATTTCTTGTATTTAAACATATGTTTATTCTTGTTTCTGTTATATTGACAAATAAAATAAATAAACAAAAATAAAATAATCAAGGAGAGAAGCAATCTAGAACTAAGGAGAAATTTCCTGGCAGTTAGAACAATTAATCAATGGAACAACTTGACTCCAGAAGTTGTGAATGCTTCATCACTGGAGGAGTTTTTAAAGAAAAAAGAGGACAACCATTTGTTTGGGATGGTATAGGATCTCCTGTTCGAGCAAGGAGTTGAACTAAAAGACCTCCGAAATCCCTTCCAACCCTATCATTCTACGTCCTATGTTCTAAAGCAGGGGTCTCCAAGTTGGCAAGTTTAAGACTTGTGGACTTCAAGTCCCAGAATTCCTGAGCTAACATGACTGGAGGTGGAATTCTGGGAGTTGAAGTTCACAAGTCTTAAAGTTGCTAAGGTTGGAGACCCCTGTTCTAAAGGCTCTCCTGGTTATCCCAGGAATATTAATCATTTGAGTTCATATCCATGGACAGAGTTCTTAACACAACTCTCGAAGGACAAGAGATGATTCTAGGCTCAAAGATAAATATTTCTGTAGTTGTACAATTTATCCAAGCAATGGGACGAAGGGAGAAACTAAACAGAGTGTGAGAGCACGTGAATAACGAAAGGGAAGGAACGGGCGATTAAAACTCTGTAAGTTTTGGCATCTGTCACATTTCTGGATAGTTGTTATTGCAAAGGGACATGGCAGTGGAATGAAAATTTATTTATGCATTTTTACAGGAGATTCATGTCCCGCATAGGCTGGTGGGACCTTGGAGGTCTTCTAGTCCAACTCCCTTCTCAAGCAGGAATCCATCTGAGACAAATAATTGTCCAATCTCTTCTTGAAAACCTCCAGTGATGGAGCACCCACTACTTTCAGGGGGCAAACCGTTTCATTGATTAATTGTTCTTACTGTCAGAAATTTTCTCCTTAGTTCTAGGTTGATGTTCTCTTTCAGGATGTTCCATCCATTACTTCTTGTCCTGCCCTGAACATAGAACATAAAATCATAGAGTTAGGGAAGGGATCTTGGGGTGGGGTCCAACAGGGTTAACTACCGATTCAATGATTTACGAGGTTCGGTGATTTACGACGTGCTTTCCTGCATGCTGCTCGGGCAGGCCTGTAAATCGTCATCAGCACGCTGGGTGCAGAGAAGCGGCCTTTGAAACAGCCCTTTTTTCCTGCTTTTTAAACTGCAGCTGTGCCTCGTTTGGCAGCTGAAGTTGAAAAATCAGGAAATAAAGATCAGGTAAGAGCCCGGGTGGGCGGATGGGCAAAAACATCAGCAGACATAGAACCGGTTCTATGTCTGCTGCTCTTCAGAGCTACCGGTTCTACAGGGATGGACAGAACCGGTAGAAACCCAACCCTGGTTTTCTAGCCCAGGGGTCTTCAAACTTGGCAACTTTAAGACTTGTGGACTTCAATTCCCAGAATTCCTGAGCTAACAAGACTGGAGGAGAAATTCTGGGAGTTGAAGTTGCCAAGTTTGGAGAGCTCTGTCTAGTCCAACCCCTTTGCTTAAGGTAGGAGAGCTTATATCAACCCGGTCAAATGGTTGTCCAATCGATTCTTGAAAACATCCAGTGATAGTACATCCATAACTCCAGAAGCCAAGCCATTGGGGGGTTTTCAAACTTGACAGCTTTAAGACTTGTGGACTTCAACTCCCAGAATTCCTCCTCCAGTCATGTTAGCTCGGGAATTCTGGGAGTTGAAGTCCACAAGTCTTAAACTTGCCAAGTTTGACGACCTTTGGATGAATTATTCTCACCTATCAGGAAATTTCTCCTTTGTTCTAGGCTGGATCTCTCTCTAATAATTTTCTATCCATTACCTCTTGTCCGGCATTCAGGTATTTGGGGGACTACGACGATCCCCTTTTTCTGATAGTCCCTCAAATACTGGGAGACAGGTATCATGTCCCTCCTGTTCCTTCTCTTTGATAGGTGAGACGTACCTAGCTTGCTCAACCAAACCATTCATCGTACAATTTATTTTCTTCATATCTGGGTTGGTCTTTGCACACTTTATAGGCTCTCAGAGTCTTTTATATAGTGTTGTGACCAGAACTGGATGCAGTGCTCCAAGCGTGGTCTCACTGATGTAATACAAAGTATTATCACTTCCACCTTTTAAAAAGTTGCCTATATAAGGTTCCTTTCTATATGGAGTAAAACATAGAAGGAGTGGTGTGGTGGCCTAGAGAGGGTGTGAGTTCGATCCTAGTTAGAGGCAGATATTTCTCTTTGGGGCAGAAAGAGAAAATATCTGCGGAACAAAAACTCTGCATTGGTGACAGGAAGGGCATCCGGCCATTAAACACTGCTAGATCTATTCAGTTGCTCAGATTCCACCCTGCATGGGATTATGTGGTCATTAAAAGATGATGATGATAAAGTAAAGCATAGAGTGAGTACAATTTTCTTCTACCTGAATGTATTCTCTTGCTGTCATCTGGGTTCTTGGACAAGATGCTGGAGTTACCAGACTTGTGGTGCCCTAAATTTAAAGATCCTGTTGAGGAAGAAGACAGCAAATTAAACCTAATGATCTCGTTGGGTTTCAGTCAATTCTCGTGGAGAAAATACAGTTTAGATTAAAAATGATACACTTTTATTCCTGGTTATAAAATCTTTCTGGCAATGGTGATGTCGTCTTTAGACGAAGGGTGTCCAAATTTGTCAACTTCAAGATTTGTGGACTTCAACTCCCAGAATCCTCCAGCCAGCAATGCTTTCATGCTTAAGGACTAGAACTCACTGTCTCCTAGTTTCTAGGCAGTATCTTAACCACTTCTCCAAATTTGTTCTACTTTCTTTTGCTCTGTTTTTATTGTGAATGGATCATGATCTTTAGGAAATGGGATATATCTGTGCCCCTCAGTGTGTGTGTGTGTGTCACACATCAGGTGCAATCGTGTCTCAGAAGTAAACTTCTGATGCTTATCCTTTTTTCTGAATTTGCAGAAATTTGCACGTCTGGCTGGGGAATTCTGGGAGTTGAAGTCCACAAATCTTAAAGTTCTCAAAAGTTGGACATCAAGCAGAGGTGGGATTCAACTTTCTGAACAACCGGTTCTCTGAGCGTGGCCTAATTTGTGGGTGTGGCTTGGTGGTCACGTGACTGGCTTGTATGTAAATATTGGCTTGTATGTAAATATCGTAAATATTTAGGTAAATATTGAATTTTTTTATTTAAAAAAGAGCAACTTTTACCCCAAATCAGGCAAAGTGGGCAGGCAGATTGAGTTGCTCACAGAATCACAGATTCACTCAGAGATCTACCATTCTGCAATCTTCTAGCTGAGCCTGCACTGAAAAATAGAAGCTTCAGTCTTAAAGAAGGTTCAGCTCTGCTTTTAGATTAGCTAGAAAGCAAGAAATCCAATGATTTCCTGCTTTCTAGCTAATCTAAATATCCCATCACAGCTAATAGTTGGAACAGCTGGTGGTTGGGACGGGTGGGAAGGAAAAATAGAAACTTACCGAAAATTAGGCAAAGGCACAAGGTAAGCAAGCTGGATGGCAGACATGCCAGGTAAGAAGTGAGTGATTGGGGATGGCACAGGAGGGGCCAGCCAGTGGCGTGATTTGCCAGTTCTCCGAACTGCACAGAATTGTAACAACCAGTCTGACCAGGTAGAATCCCACCCCTGACATCAAATTACATTGAAAAAAATATTTATCTTTCCATAACCATTCTTTTTCTGTGTAACTTCTAAAAATGTGTCTACAGGTTGTCTTCAATGTACGACCACAAATAAGCCCCAAATTTAAGCTGCTAAATGAGGCACATGTTCAGTGAGTTTTTTTGCTCCATTTTACAGCTTTTCTAGTTTCATTTGTTCAGTGAGACATTGTGGTTGTTAAGTGAGTATTAACACAGGCGTTAAGTGAATCTGGCTTCCCCAATGAATTTGTTGGTCAGGAGGTCGCAAAAGGGGATCACGTGACTCCCCGGACACTACGACTGTCATAACTATGAACCAATATGAATTTTGATTATGTGACCATAAGGATGCAGAAATGGTCATAACTCTGAAAAATAGTCATACTTTACTTTTTTCAGTGCCTTTGGATGGTTACTAAATGAATTGTTGTAAGTCAAGGACTACCTGTATTTTTACAAGCAAATGCCCTCCCCTTAAATTTATACTTGCAAGTGGTTTTCTTTAATATGCCAACGTTGTGTGTGCAATCTTTCCTGGATAGCAAATCACTTTGGATGTTAGCATGTGAACGGATGTTGATATGGATCCACCTTGGGAGCAAATGAATGGGATTAATTCACACCTGGGTAAAGGGCAGCCAGCCCAACATTTGTTACCTGCATCTATGGCAGAGGTTGGACCCATGATAGCAGGTAAAGGACCTCCCGATTTCTTTGTGGGGTTCGCCCAGGATGGAATGGAGTTGTCCGTTGGTTCTTGGCCAATAACTATGGGCCCTGTTTAGATAAATGGAGAGGAATGGGAAGAACAATGAATATCAATCAGTCAGTCAGAATAGAGCTGGAAGTGTAGAGTTGTAATTGCAGTAATGTTCCAATCTTGGATGGCAAACCTCAGATAAAGAATGTTTCCAAGCAAATACAACTCAGGCAAACAAAGTCACTAATCTAAAGGAGGATTAGAGAGAGGAAGTAAACATACGTTAGACTTTAACTAGAGATAATTAATTGTGTTAATTACTGTGCTAAACAGTAACGAAAGTTAAGCAGTAACCAAAGTTAACCAATGATGGAGGATAATTAAAAATGTGTATAAATGCAAGACTAGACTCCAATAAAGATCATCATGATTCAGTTGTTCATGATCAAACAACTCGACTGCCTCGTCATTACAACATGGAAGGGATCTTGGAGGTTCTTCTACTCCAGGGATGTCAAACTCGATTTTATTGGCCACATCAGGGTTGTGTTCGACCTCGGAGGGCCATTAGGGTGGGTGGGGCAGAGGTGGTATTCAGCAGGTTCTGACCAGTTCTGGAGAACTGGTAGCGGAAATTTTGAGTAGTTCGGAGAACCGGCAAATACCACCTCTGACTGCCCCTCACCCCATCAATTCTCTGCCTCCAGAGTCCCAGCTGATTGGCTGGGTCTTCTTTTGTTGTCCTGCACAGGAGAACGGAGCTGGAAAGCAGGTTAGTGGGGTGAGAAGGGAATGGGGATTTTACAGTATCCTTCCCCTGCCACGCCCACCAAGCCATGCCCACAGAACCGCTAGTAAAAATTTTTGAATCCCACCACCGGGATGGGGTGGGTGTGGCCATGGTCGGTGTAGCCATGGTGGGCAGAGTGCTGCAGGAGGCCATGGAGACTGAAAATGGGCCAGACTGACGGCCCCGCAGCCCCCACACACACAGAGAGCCCATTTTTGCCAGCAGAAGCACCGCAGGCCAGTCCTTTGATATTTGCAAGCTGGGTCCGTGGGCCAGATTTAAGCACCCCTCAGGCCGGATCCAGCCTTGAGTTGGGCTTCAAAAAATTCAGCCACCAGTTCTCTGCCCGGTGGTTGGGTGGGCATGGCCGTTGTGGGCGTGGCTTAGTTGGCCTCCTGCACCACGGTGGGGATGGGGGCAGGTGTTTTCAACCTCCCCGTGCTCCAGAGGCTTTCCTTCGGTGTCTCTGGAGGGCAAAAACGGCCTCCCCCAGGCTCCGGAGGCCTTCTGGAGCCTCCACACAGGCCCTATACTTACCTCTCACCCAAAACGAGCCATGTGGAGACTTGTGGGAGGGGTGGGACAGGGTGGGCGGGGCCAGCCAGGGGTGGGGATTTGGTGGTTCGCTGAACCAGCCCTAACATTAGCTACGAGTTCGGCCAAACCCGGGGCGGACCCGTAGCGGCCCACCGCTGCCCCTCTTCTAGTCTAACTCCCTGCTCTTAAAAACCTCCAGTAATGAAGCACCCACAACTTCGAAGTCAAAGCCAAGTCAATGGTGAAGCCAGATTCGCTTAACAACCATGTTACCGACTTAACAGTGATTCAACTTAATATTTGTGGTCAGAGGAGGTCGTAAAACGGGGCAGCAGAACTCACTTAGCATCTCTTTCTCTTGCTTAGCAATGAAAATTTTCCAGAACCATCTATCAGATTTTGCTTTTTAGGTGGTGTGAAGGGTACTATTCTTGCATCAGCAGGAAAAAATATTACTAATGATAATATTGCTATTATTGCTGTGATTGGGATTGGGGTCGCGTCCGCCAGGGGACAATTGCTAGACCCCGGGTGTGCATCCTTGAGGACTTTAAGACGACTTTAAGACAGGCTGGCTGGGGAATTGTGGGAACTGAAGTCCAAACGTCTTAAAGTCACCACGGTTGAAAAAAAAATAAAAATCCAGAGCTAGAAACTTTCCCCTTGCTAAATTAGGAGAGGATGCGGCTCCCAAACAAACTTTCAAAGGCTTCCTGTGTTTTTCTGAAATGATGAAAGAAATCCCCAAGGGTCTTCTTCCCAAAATAATAATAATAATAATAAAGCCTTAGGAATGTTCCAGGCAAAAATTAGCAATTTCCACCCTACGCTTCACTCCCACCGTACATCAAATATCCAAAACACAAGATATGGCAGAAAAAAATCAACCTGTTTTCCTTCTTTGCCTTTATCCCTTCCCTCATTTACAAGCCAAATTTGGTGGGGGTGGGGTGGGGGGAGAAAGATGGATTACAGATTCCTTTGGATGAAAGCTGAATTACGCAGACTTGCCAAGGTGACGGATGTCTATTTATAATGTAGTAGCCGGTTCCCAGCTCCACTTGACGGCTTTTTCTTAAATATGCCAAGTAATCCCTTGACTCAGCTGCCGTTGGCATTGTTCCAAACTACTCTCATAGTTACAGAAAATATATGTTTAAAGAAACCGATGGTGGAAGGATAGGGAATGGACCACCTGGGTGGCCTGGATTAAAAAAGAATGAAAAAAAGGAGAGAGAGAAGAAAAAAAACCAGCCAAGAAGATAAGTAGTGCTCAAAACTCAACTCCCGGTTTTGAAATGTAGAGCCCAACATTTCCTTTACTAAGCACGACAGTTTTTAAGTGAGTTTTGCTCCGTTTTATGACCTTTCTTGCCAGAGTTGTTAAGTGAATCACTGCAGCGGTATAGTCACACAGTTGTTAAGCGAATCGGGCTTTGTCCCTTGGCTTTGCTTATCAGGAGGTCACAAAACGGAATCACATGATCCCAGGACACTGCAACCATCGTAAATATGAATCAATTGACAAATGATTGATTTTGGGTCATGTGACCACAGGGAGACTGCAATGATTGCAAGGGTGAATAACAGTCCTAAGGCAATTATTTCTGTGACTTTGAATGGTCACTAAATAAATGTTTGTAAGTCAAGGATGACCTGTAATTAATATCGTGTTTTTTTCCCCCCAAATAAGACCCTGTCTTATTTATTTTTTGCCGCCAAAAAAGGCACCAGGTCTTATTTTCAGGGGATGTCATCCACGGACTCACTTCACTTGCGTGTGTCACCTCCGGCCTCCTTTTCGCTGTCAGAGACCTTCAGGACCTTCTTCTGCAGCAGGCAAGGCTTTCCTGAAGGCCTCTGCAGCCAATAACAGAGCTCTGGATCGATCCAGAGCTTTGTTCTCAGCTCCAGAGGCCTTCGGGAAAGCCTTGCCAGCCTTGCTGGCTGCAGAAGAGAAATGGGCCAGCAAGGCAGGTGTCGGAATGTGCGAGGCCTGGCTACAACTTTCCAAAGTTAAGTAGTAGGACAGCTCCACCCCTCATCCCCACCTACCTTAATTTACTTTATTTAATTTATTATTATTAATTTATTTGGGGGGTAGGGCTTATATTGGGTGTACATGTAAAAATCAAGCTAGGACTTACTTTCAGGGTAGGTCATATTTTGGGGAAAACTGGGTAGAAGACTGTTAAGAATTTGTGGTCTTCAGCTGAGGACTATCTGTATACAAATTCCAACAGGACGCACACGTTTCGCATCGGTCTTTTGTTCGACCACGATGCACAAGGAGGAGGATTAACAGATGGCCGCTTCGTTATGGTGCGTCATAAGTGAGCCTTGGCTTACATACTTATAAGGGTCCTACTTCACTTAATTTATGATTCCTCTGCCTTTTCCTAATCAGAGTACAGTAAGTGAGAGGCAGCTTAAGGCTTGTCTTGTAAACACAGCTTACCCTTACAGTACATAAAAGCAAACAGGCTGCTGGGTTGTTTTTTTTTAATTGTAATAATTAGCCCAATGAAAAATGCATGTGGGGAGGGTTATTTCTGAGTGCGGATGGCCCTGGAGGCATAATTTCCCTTATAAGGGTCAGCGATGTGAATAAGCAGTAGGGAAACCTAAGTGTAGGAAAAAAAGTTAGAATAAATACTGAGTTTTTCGATGCAGGGTGATTGTAAGAAGTGGAGCAATCCTTGGAAGAGACCAAATTTGGCCTAGTGGTTAAACCACCCAGGAGACTGTGAGTTCTAGTTCCACTTTAGGAATGAAAGCCAGCTGGGGGACTTTAGGCCCATCACTAGGAGACTGTGCATTCTACAAAAATTCTACAATAATAGACATGAAAGCTGGCTTTGGGTCAATCCCCAATCACTAGGAGATGGTGAGTTCTAGTTCCACCTTAAGCATGAAAGCCTGCTGGGTGACTTCGGGTCAATGGCCAGGCGACTGTGAATCCTAGAGCCCCCATAGTCATGAAAGCTGGCCTTGGGTAATCACACTCTCTCAGCCCAATCCACCTCACAGGATTGTTGTTGTGTGGAGGAGCATTAGATATGTTCACCACCTTGACAATATTTTGTTAAAAATAAGGAAGGTAAGATATAAATAGATAAACAAATTCACTACAAAGTTATCAACCAGCCTAAGGAAGATGGTTATAGTTACCACAATGATGTTACCTAGTTGGGTAATAAAATGTCTGCAAGCTAACAACCAAGCTTGGATTCCACAGTCATCTTCCTTCCCCTCCTCCTCCTCCTCCTCCTTTCCGCTAACCCCACTCCCTTCTAGCACTGATGATATTCCCTAGTTGGGTCATGAAAAGTCTGCAAGAAAACAACCAAGCTCAGAGAGCACCAAGGACCCCATAGTCATCTTCTTTTTCCTCCTCCTCCTCCTCCTCCTCCTCCTCTCCACAAACCTCACTCCCTTCTAGCACTGATGATATTCCCTAGTTGGGTCATGAAAGGTCTGCAAGAAAACAACCAAGCTCA